CTGCCCTCATTTTTCCTCCTGCCTCCCAGTTGCCAGGCCTCAGAAACGGGCTGGAAACACAGTCCCAGCTCCGAAAAGCTGCTGCCATCTCCTGGAAAGAGGGTCCTTCCCTGGAGAGAGGCAAGAGCACACAGTAGCCACTGGGACACATGCCAGAAGGGACCTGCGGCCACCAACACCTGCTGCTCTGGGATAGCCTAATCTTTCCCCATGTTATCATACCTGTCACACTAATGACTGAGAGTGATGTCAAGAAATAGGATTACAGACTTGTGCTGCAGAGAGCAGGTGAGGTCCATGGGGACAAAGGACAAGGCTGCCCTTTATTTTAGTGGAAGCTTCCCATGGGCAGGAATATGCTCCTTGCCTATGCTCTAACCAGCACAGACAACACTCAAGCACCAGGGCTGCTTTATTCCCCTCATGACTGCAAAGATCAGAGCATTTGATGGAAGGAAATAGTTCAGGATGGCTCCCACACACCGGCCACCAGGACCCCATCACTATCAGGAGGCTGAGGGGAAAATCATTGCAACTCCCTAGGTCTCCTTTCATCTACAGCACCTCATGGCTACTGCACAGCTGCCCAGAATATTATAACCTGCCACCTCCACAGGTCTACACAAAGATAACTTGCAGCCCCAAAGCCTCTCTGTGGCACAGACGCACATTTTCATGAGCACATCTATCGACCAGGGTGGATTCCCTACTCCCCTTCCCCCAGAAATAACAAAAATAAAAGTCTTAGCCATCTCTCACTGATGCCACAAGACCAAGGGGTTCAAATTGCCTTCCCCGAACAGTGGCGCCCGCCAAGGCACAGCTGATGGCCCTGCAGCAGGCTGCAGACTGCCTGTGAGCTGGCCCCGTGAGCGTCACTGCTGTATTTATATCCTTTTATTATGCTTTAAACCATCGGGGAGAAACAGGTGCAGAGCTGTCTGCGCAATAGCGGCCAGCAATGTCCCCTCAAGCCTCAAGCTGTTGTATACACCAGCATGGACACACACATGCAGGAGGACAGAGACCAACCTTCCAAATCCCCACAGAGTGCTGAAGTCATGGATAAAAACCAGTCCTGGAGGAGGATGCACACCAGTGCCCAGACACACTGCTCCAGCCCATGCAGCCATTCAGAGGGGGCAGAGCTGGCTGGGGACACCCCCGTGTACTCCAAGGAGCCCTTTCTGGCTACTTCAGCAAATAATCACTGCTGCCCTTCAGCTGTCACCCCAAGAATGCAACCTCAGTGGAAGCTGCTCTCCCAAAGGTGCCCAGAGCAGGATGTGCAGCTGAGGGGCTGCAGAAAGGCCATCTGTAGTGTACATTGGGCTTGGACTGTGCCTCTTACCTTGTTTCTCAGCCTGCATGGGCAGGAGAAATTTGCTGCAGTGCATCTCTGGGTCTTCTGCAGCAAAGTGGGGATTTCTCCTTCAGAGAAAAGCAACTCTTCTGGGTACAGATCAGGCTCTTCCCAGTTGAGATCCTCTGAAAACTCCCCATCATCTTCCTTAGAAATAGGTATGTTGGCACCTCTCCTTAGCGGATACTCAAAGAAATCTCCTTTAAACATGGAACAGAGCCACAGCAAACTGGGAAAGCAGCAAGGCCTGAGCCCAGGCCAGGGTGTCACCACTTAATCAGAGATAAACCTGACCCAGACTTTCCCAAGGCAAAGTTAAGGGGCAGCAGGAGGACACTGGTAGCTTTAAAGCCTCAAGGCAGCTGGAACAAGAGTGAAGTGTTTTCACCAAGCATGTCAGAACTGCCACTACTCGGGCTGCTTCAGGACACCTCCCAGCCTTATCCAGCCACATAACACATTGTGGGGAGCACCATGCAATGGCTTCAGGTTCACAGTTGCCTGTACACCTCTTACTTTTCCTGGTGGAGGTTGACACTAGGATTAACAGCTTAATAGCCCAGTGCCTTGAGCCTGCCTGGCCTGGGGCAGCAGATGAGAAGCAGATTTCAGTTGTATCTTGCCTTAGGATGTGCCTGGTGTCCATGGGAAGAAGACAGGAAATCTTGAGTTAATTGATCCAGCATTAACACTTCACTGCTAGAAATCAAAGTGGAGTTTAGCTTTGAAACCCATTGTTTGTGGGTAAAAGCATTACCCTATCCATAAAAGTACTGCACCATACTGTATTACCCCAGACCATGATAAAGCCAGGTGCCACTGTGACAACTGCTATTTAGCCTTTACTGGAAATGAGCCCTTCTCTTTCTTCCCAAGCAGGGAAGGAGGTGAGGGGATCAGTGTCAGTGTCCCCTGCAGTCAAGCACCTCATAAATCTCCCCTTTGGAAAGGCAGGCAGCGCTACTCCGCTTCTGGGGAAGAAAGCACATATTGTTCAGCCTTGGGCTCAGGTACACCACAGGGAACGTCTGTGCTGAAACCCAAACGCGTGTGCAGTGGGATGGGCTGCTGTGACAGCCAGAACAGCCCAGGCTGATAAAAGACCACAGGTTTCCTCCTCACCAGGCTCTAGAGAATAGCACTACCAATTTTTTAATCACTTTGAAGAATAACAATGTACTTTATAATGTATGAAATGGAAATACCAAGATCAGGTTCACCTCCACCGCTCTTCCTGCACACACACCAGGGGTGCATGCTGATGGACAAAGCTGGGGGGTTTCCATTTCCCTCAGTAGTGTCCCAGCAGGGCAGAGCAAAGCTTTTGTAGCTCACCTGCCAGCATCCTTCTGCTTGACTTCAAGGCAAAGCTTTGGGCATCTTTCCCCACTGACATCCCAGGTTTGCAGATCTATATAACATCTGGCTCAAAATGGGGAGATCCCCGTCTTCCACATTACTGCCATGGGGAAAACACTTCCTGTCTCTCCACACGCCTCCCTGGGGAAACCAAAGGTCGGTGAGCCAAAGGGAAATTTATGGGCTTCCCCTTCCTAAAGACTTCTCCAGATAGTTCTCTAATACTGGATTTTTTTTCCAAATTAAGGGAAAGAGGAGGGGGGAAACAGAGAAGGGGAAATAGGTAAGGGCAAGACTACAGGTCACATTTTTCTGCTCATAGCAAATGCACCGGGTAGAGAGGCCAGCAGGTGGCCAGGATGCTGCTCCTGCTCAGGCTGCGACAGCATCAGAAGATGTCAGCCTCAACAGGGGGCACAGACAGCTTAGGCTTCAATTTCCCAGTTCGTATGAGATGAGCAGCAAAAATCCCCATCATAGACGCCAGCAGCTAACATTGCCACCTGGAAAAGCCTCTTGTGCAAACCAGCAATATTTTGGTGAATTGCTGCAATAGCCCACACTGGGAATAAGCAGTATTTTAAGGGGAAGAGGCATGGCAGGTACTGTGCAACACCCTGCCATCCCATTTTGGCCAGACCTGCAAGCACACACCTCATAAAACCCCAGTGCCTCTTTGGGCAGCAGGACCAGGGGGTAACATTATTTCAGTGCCCCTGAACTGCCCCCTTCATACTATTCATCTGAGGGTGGCCGGCACAGCAGGACTACAGACATCATGCAGCCTCCCCGGATCGCCTGTCAGGAAGAGGAAATGCCACGCATTTTCTGGCTGCTTGTACCTGCGCCAAGTATAAATGCCACCCCTAAAAATACTAGCAGGAAGGAGAGGCATGCCACCAGTCACTCACCCCCCCAGCCAGGCCACCACGCCACCCAGCTGCTTTCGAGACAGCAACTTGAAGCAGCTGAGTGGGACCTAGCCTGGTCTTTCACACCTTCCCACATGGGTCAGAGGGTGACAGCCCAGTGTCACGCGTAGCAAGGCAGCAGCAGAACCACAATAACACACTCAAACCGGCTGTGGGCAGGGGTCAACATCCCAGGAGCTGCTTTTGGCATCCCCAGGACACAAATGACTTCTAGTGAAGGCTCCTAATGAAATTAAGCTCCTGGGATGCTTCTGTCTGATCAGCAGACAGCCCTGCATTGCTTTATTCTGAGCAACTTTGATCCCTCTGGCAAATGACCCCAGACACCTCGCAGGCTACCCCAAAAGCTGCAGCCTCTGCACCTCAGTACAGAGAGGGGGCAGCGGCACCTGCATTGGGAGCACTGCTCCCACACAGAGCAAAGCTGCCCATGCCCCCCTGCCAGTCTGCATCAATGTCCAGTCCTAAAAAGCATCCCTGAGCCCCAGACAAGTGCATCCAGCAAACCACAGGGACCCAGTCACAGTTCAGCTAGAGCAGCTCTCCTGATGCTTTTATTGTTTTATTTTAATTGGGCAGTGCCTTATTTCAAGTTCTGACTTATTCTGGGTAAATCAGGATGAAACCATCCAGACTCTGAAAATTACCTTCAGGTTTCCAGCCCCTAACAGGCAGCAGGTGGCTGGGACAGATCAGGGAGGCATTAGACACCCCAATGCCCCACAGCCCTCAGGGACACATGCGGGGGCAGAGCTGGGTGTGATCTCCCTTCAGCCCAAACCGTTCTTCCATGGGATTTGCACCTCCCAAAAACTGGCATGGTTCAAGGGCTATCACATTGCTGCCACTGGGCAGAGAGATTTGGCAGTCTCTCACCTCCCCTCCAAAATATGTTCCTGCAGCCACTGGTACCCAATGCAATCCACACCAACATCACTCAGAAACCGGGGGTTACTGTTTGCTGTTAAAGAGCTGATACCTCCCACCCCAGCCCCACATGTCAGAGCATGATGCTTCAACAGCACCCACACACAGAGTGATGGGCAAAACACCCTGGGAGTCTTCTCCAAGAGCAGGAAGTGCAGCAGCATGGCCTCTGCAGTCCTTTTGAAGGCATCAATCTGCAAAGGAGGAAAGCCCACCTCTGCCTGTACCCAAGGTATAGAATAGGAACAACTTTCCTTCAAAATTTATATAGAGAATTTGCTCAAACATCAGGATGGCAAAGCAGGACTCTGTGGTGCTTAGAGTGAGATAATGCAATTTTTTTTCTGTACAATGCATTTTGATCACCACTTTGAAGCCACCCCAAGCTCTACCTGGATATCTGAACCAAGCAAACCCACCTGATGTTTGTGAGCATCCCAGGACAAAAGGCTTCTGTGAGGATGAGGTGGGTGTCCAGGGTGGGAGCACAGAGACCACTAGTGGCACACGCTGCCCCATCCAAAAGGATGCACCAGCATGGCAGGGAAAATTGATGATGATGAGAGAAGTCCATCAGGCTGCATGCTGGCCCCACAGATTGATAGCCTCCGCAACGAGCTGCACATAATGGCCAAGTTCAGGCCGCAGTGGCTGGGAGCTGAAAGGAAATGGCCATAAATAAGCTGGGAAAAAAAAAGGAAGACAGAAGGGTGGCAGGGATAAATAAATACGCTGTAGCAGGGCTGCAGCACCGGAATGGGATGCAGCCCACATTGAGATGGAGATGCTACCACAGAGGTGGCTGCTTTGGAATGAGAGCTCTGCATTCAATAACAAGTGAGCTGTTTCCCCCCCAGTCAGTCTTCTCACCCAAAACTACAACCAGCTGCTAAAGGGGCCATGTCACACATCCATCCCCAAAATATGGCAGGGATATTAGGGTTATAATCCCATCATTACCAAAGCTCCACCTGAGCCTTACACTTCTTTCCCAAGACTTTTATATCTCAGCAAGCTCCCCCATGACTGACCTGGATGGCTGGGCTTCCCTTGTCACCTTCCTCAGCCAAAAGCATCAACCTTGGGCTTATTTCCTTTTCAGTTATTGCCCACTAATGAATAGGGGAGACAGGAGGAGCAGAGGGCAAAGAGCTGGATGTTTCCCTCATTGTCCCCCATCTGCTTTATTCAGGCTAGTTACCCTTCTCCGGCTTAAATCAGCCCTTTGCATTTTGTTGTGGTCTCTTTTTTTGCCTCCGCTGTTTTGTGAAGAAAAACCTTGCCCAAAGAGCTACTGTGATTTACTGCAGCATTAACAAATGTCAGAGCTTGGGAGCCGTGTAGGAACCGCTCGCTGGCAGCTTGCCTGGACAAACATACTAAAAGTCAGCCCTGGCGTGGATACTTGAGGAATTAGTGTCCGTACAAAGATGCATTAAATACAGGGAGAAAGATGGGGAACCTTTACAACAGAGGCTTGAAAGCTTTCTCGAGGCTGTTTAACATATGGTGGTGCTTCTCTGCACCTGCCACACAGCCCATCACAAGAGCAGTTCACAGATTCTTGTCCTTGTCACCAGACCCAAATGCCATTCAAGTTATAGTTCCCAATGTGCCCTGCCTGTTAGGTAGTTTTTTTGCACATGTGTGTTTTAACAGATCCTTTTCTCCCCAGCCCTCTCTGTTAGATGGGTTTTGCTGCCAGCGAACCACAGAGCAAGCCCTGCTCAGCCAGGCAGGGTTCCCCACTAGCTACCAGAAATGTATTTCTAAATGCAGTAAGGAAGAGGGAAAACCCCATAAACCCAACCTTTTCCTCATGAAATCCTTATACCCAGCTCAGCCATAAGGGAGCCAGGGTACCTAGGCAGGGAGAACCACAAGGAAACAAGAGACACATTGGCCAATATAATGGTTTTTAAAAAACTCTTGGCATTTCCTTGGTGGCTGCCAGCAGCTCCCCAGCCCTGCCTGCTCTGGCTGAACCACTGTTGCAGGCAGGATGGGCCAGCCATGCATACCACACAGCCCCACCACTCTGCTATTGCCATTTGCCCAGATCCCATGTGCTGCGTCGGGGAGGAATATTTTGCATGGACACTGTATGTGTTTTAAAGGTTAACTCCTCCCCAGCACCTTCTGCTTGACAGATTTGTCCAGCATCCTCCGCACAGTAGAAAGCAGCCCTGTGCCAGGAGAGACATGCTCAGCCTTGCAAAGCACGGCCAGGCGATGTTCCTTGGCTGATGCCAAATTTCCAAAAAACCAAAAGCAGAATATAGAAAAATATCATGTCCTAAAATTAAAAAACATAAAATAAATACCCCCTGGGGCTCTTGGTAGAACAAAACATTTTTCCCAAGCAAATCCATTCCCATATATGCACTGCTTGGCTCTGAGGAGGGGTGAATGGGGAAGGCTCTGGAAAGGCAGTTATGTGAACTGATGCACTGTAAATCTCCTGCATTAGGTGGGATATCATAACCCATAGTAATTTATCAACTTAAGCATCATCATGTAGACTGGGCTGACTTGATGTTACCTTAGTTTACCTCTGTGTTCTGCCTCCAAAGCACAGCTCCTCATCCTTCAGATGAGACCCACAGGGGCACACTGGTGATAAGCTGCTGGAAACATCTCATGGGTATTTATGCAGATGACAGGAAACAAAAGGAAACCTGGTGATCACCAGACAAGCAGTTCCTGGGCAATACTTCTTCTCAGGGGAACACCTGGGATCCCCACCCACCCTCCACAGGAGTTTTCATCTCCACTGATCATGTTGGAAATGCAGCAGCACAGCAAATCAGACTGGAGAAGGGCTGCCCCACCTGGCCACCCAGGTCTTCACCCCACGGAAGACTCCCCAGGGACTTTCATCCATTTAGGGCTGCAAACTGCCACAGTCAAACACACAACTTACACACGTTCCACTGGGCACAAGGGGCAGGCAGGCCCTTTGCCAAGCAGAGAGGAAGAATCAAATCAGGAATGGAAAAATGCACCTGGTTAGGGCAATCCCAAGCTGGGCAGAGACTGAATGGATAGTAACTCCGAGAAGGACTTGCGGGTGTTGGTTGATAAGAAGCTCAACATGACACAGGACTGTGCACTCGCAGCCCAGGAAGCCAACTGCATGCTGGGCTGCATCAAAAGGACTGTGACCAGCAGGTCAAGGGAGGTAATTCTGCCCCTCTACTCCACTCCTGTGTGACCCCCACCTGCAGTACTGCATCGTGCTTTAAAGGCCCCCAACGTAAGAAGGATGCGGACCTGTTGGAGCAAGTCCAGAGAAGTGCCACAAAGATACTAAGAGGGCTGGAGCACCTCGAGCCATGAAGACAGGCTGGGAGAGTTGGGCATGTTCAGTCTGGAGAAGAGAAGGCTCTGGGAAGACCTTGAACAGCTTCCAATAACTTAAGGGAGACCTCCAAAAAAACTGGAGAGGAACTTTTTACAAAGGCCTGTAGGGATAGGACAAGGGAGAATGGCTTTAAATTGAGAGAGGGGAGATTAGATTAGATATTAAGAAAAAAGTCTTCCTTGTGAGGGTGGTGAGGCACTGGAATAAGTTGCCCAGAGAAGCTGTGGCTAAACCATCCCTGGCAGTGTTCAAGGTCAGGCTGGAAGAGGCTTTGAGGAGCCTGGTCTGGTGGAAGGTGTCCCTAAGGTGAGACTAGATGATCTTTAAGGTCTCTCCCAACACAAACCATTCTATGAAAAAGAATTTCACACACACACGCTACATCCTCACTGAGAAGAGCGAGCAGAGGCAAAGGCATCCTGCTTGAAGCCTGGACCCGCATCCTCACACAGCACAACCCCAAACATAAGCGGGAAGAGACCAATCCATCTGGAGGGTCCCAGCTGCCTGCTTCCCCACACCAGGCACAGCTTGCCATTCCCAAAACTGCATTTGCTGGAAGAAATCCTCTCCTTCCCTGTCCCATGATGGATTTCCCCATACAGCTTCCTCCTACCAAAAAGCTGCTCCTCCATCAAGTGACTGCTAAGTACCCAAGAAGGGGCTTTAATCTTCAAAACCTCTGGGCTTCAGGAAGCAGTGGGACCTTGAAAAACAGCACTCCAGCATGCCAGCTGACCTACCTCCATGAAGTAGGAGTGAAGGATTGCTCAGCTCTCTCTACCCAAACACACTAAGCTGAAGGCAGAGAAAAAGCAACATTCCCCAGGTTGGGCTTAAATAGAGACAGCCCATGGGTGTGGGGAGGCCCCAGGTGAGGCTGTTCAGGGCTGTTAAGGCCAATTAGTGCCCTCAAAGCTCGACACAGGGAGATGCAACTAATGACTAATCCAAGGGTCCTGTCCCTGCTGGGGCTGGTCCTCCAGGGGCTCACAGTGCTATGGGCCCTTGTGTTATGCATATTCATTGTACTGTATTTCACTGTACCTTATAGTTAATCCTGTAGCCAGCCTTTCTGGGCAGTGTACACAGGATTAGTGCAGGATTAGTGTACACAACCTTTCTTTACCCATCCCCAGTGCATAGGCCAAAACTCATCCTTGCACCACAGAGTACGCACTGGCAGGCTGAGCCTGCTGCAGTAACCGCAGGGCAAGGACTAAGGGCAAAAAGCCTTTTAATTTGCCCTGACAGGCAAATAAAGCCCAGCTCTGGCAGGAGCCAAGTCCTGAAGCACAGGGAAAGCAGCTGCTCTGGCTGTGCTTCCTGCGGCAGGAAGCCCTGGCACTGCTGAGGGGCCACCAACTTTTCCCTCAGCCACTGCTAATTCAGGGTGTCCAAAGCCCAATCCCAGTCAGGTCCAGCACATCCCAGCATCACCAGACCCATCCCTCCACTCATCATGGGCTGCAGCACCTCTGACAAAGCCTGGCTTGTTCCTCATCTTTCAACTGGTGCCGCATGTACCACCAGGCTCCCCTCCCGTCTTTTCCATAGGAGATGGCCCCACATTGAATAGATCCCTGTTTTGCTCTCATTGTGGTGAGGGTTTCACCCTCCACAGCACTTCATAATCTGGAGTTTTATCAGCCCCCAGCCATTCTGATTCCAAGAAGCTCTAAAAAGAGACTTTGATTTCCAGGGTCTGTTTTTTTTGGGGGGGAATTAAAATACCTTTCATCGTTGCAAACAGCACAGCAGAGTTACAGAAAGAGGGTTGAGAGGGAAATTAAACTAATTAGGGGGAATTACTGGAATGCATGAGGCCTCTTCAGGCGCATCCTCCTCAACAGGAAGGAGCTTCCATCCCATCTCAGTGGGGCAGGGAAAGTCTCTGGCTAGCCAATAAGCATTTCTCAGCCTTTCATGGACATGGCAAAGCCCCTCCACACAGACCCAAGGCAAAGGTGAAGTGGGAAGCCCTTGACAGAGGCTTGGTGCAGCCTATCATGGGCTGCTCAGATCTGAAACCCAGACTGCAACAGAGCAGGAGTGGAGCCATTTAGGCGAGGTGAAAACGTTTTTCTGCTGATAAATAACTTTTAAAAGCTACTCAGGAATAGTTCAGTAACTGAAGTTACTAAGTCAAGAAAGCCATATAAAGAGTATTAAGTGTTGAGAAAGGGTTCTTTGCCTTCTATTTTAATACAAATACTAGATTAAAAGTGTGCTGCTGTGCATTATTGGCTGAAGTACACTCACTCTTACTGATTTCTTCCTTCTAAACCTTGAAGGCTTCAAAACCCTGCCCAGCAGGCTGCACTCTAGGCTGGCCTGGGGAGCTCTGCTGTGGTGGGAACCCATTCCAGGTTGCTGTGGCAGAGGCCACATGGTTTGGCCCTGAAGAGCTGGGCCCCATGGCCAAGAGGTTTTTGTATATTTTAATTTTTACATACATAAATATATTTGGGAAAACAATTTGGCTTCTAGAAATATGAAAATGCCAGGCCAGTCCCTACCCAACCAGTGCCCCTCCTACACAGCAGGGCTATGCTGGGGTATCCCAGAGGAGCACAGGGGTCTGAGGGTAGAAACAATCTAAAATGTCCTATAGCAAAACCCTCTACAGACACTGATCTCTGACCCTGCTTCTGGCCTCTCTAAACCCTGTTTCCACCAGTGAGATTTTCCTACAAGGGGTTACACCAACAGTAATCAAGAAGCTGCAGGGATCCCCCGTCTGTGTTTTATGGGGCTGACCTGGCCAGGGTGAAAAGTACAGCAGTGGGGAAGGCAGTGCAGCCCCTTCCCCTCCCACCTGCTTGTGTTTGTAATTTGCTTTCTGCAAATCCCTGCTTCTGCAGCAAAGCCCAACCATTGCTAGTCATACCAGGACCAGCAGTTTGGGTGTAGTAACAAGAGACCAGGGTAGTGCCTGCAGCAGAGGGGACACCCCACACCAAAGCCAGGAGGGGTAGAAAGAGAGGTGACAGCATTGTCAGGGGACAAACTCAGACAAGTGGCCACAGGAGGCAAATTTGACTAGTGCTATAAAGAAATGCATGTTTTTCCTCTCTCAGACGCCTCTTCCAGGTTTTTCACCTCTCATTAATAGCAGAGCTCATTTCTGCCTGAGCCAGGCTGCTTGGGAATAGTGCAAATGCAAAAAAAAGAAAAAAATAAAATAGCAACGTGACAAAATAATAAATAATTGGCAAATAAGTAGCTTAAGAAGTGTGCAGTGACCTGCAAACAACGTCACTTGGCCAGTCGCCCAGTGATGGGTACAGCGAGGACAGCTATGGCTATAATATGGCACAGACCTTCAGTCCAGGAAACAGTCTAAATCAGTCTTCTCCCCTGCAGTATCCTGAGCTGCTTCCTGAGATATTATTTTCCTTTGCCCTCTTGATGTATTGTCCTGCAACATATTTGGGGTTTCCCAAAGTGTGCCAAGAAAGGGCTAGCCGTGACGCACCAGCTTGTTTTCAGGCTGCCAGCAGCAGCTCCTTCCTGCCGGAGGGGGAAAGCGTCGTCCCCCACCAGGTTCCCCAGGGTTCCCCCACCTTCTGGTCCAGGGGAACCAGATGCATTCATTTTTAACACTGTCAGGGGATGTGACAAATAACAGTCTGGGGGAAAGAGGATGGTAAGCAGCGTCCCTGTGTCCCCGTGAATTGCACAGAGCTGTCTGCAGAGCAGAGGCCATTGCACTGCTCCAAAACATAAGCCACCCCCTGTGTTTTCCCAGATTGGGCCAAATAAAGGCTAGGGAAAAAAGAAATAAAAAAAAAAATTCCCAGGCCACACCTTTCCTCAGCCTTGTTCCCATCCCAGGCAATAAAAATGCCTTGGAGCAGGAGTCCCAGCTTCACAGCTCAACCACTGACAGAATCAGGTTGTGGGCCAAAGCAACAGGGAGTTCACTTCATTGCTTGACTTTGCTTTCCTATAGGGTGGATTTTGAGGACCTCAGTTCACAGGCAGCATTGGCAAAAGCCATTTGAGTAAGGAAATTAGTGTCCTTCCCTTCCCGATGCTCCCATGGACCCCCTCTTCCTCATCCTCCCTGCCCATCACTTGCTTACGGCACCAGCTGACCCCTGCAAACTCCAAAAGCTCCTCTGGGGACCCTATGCTCAGAGCCACGTTTTTCCAAGTGTCTCTCTAAATATATATGTCAACAGCAAAGAGGGGAGGAGAGCAAGAAAGAAACATTTTGCAAGTATCCATCTGTTTTCAGATCATTAACTGTCCCTGGGGATCCCCAGATCTCTTTCATCTGCTTTTTGCGAAGTTTAGGTTAGGAGGGGGTTCAGATGCAAGTGCAGTCAGGGAAAGGCAAAGCCGCCCTGGTCTTCAGCAGATCACTGAGGAGGAATTTGGGCAGGCAACAGGAAAGCTCTTTCCCCGGCTGGGAGGCATCCAGTCAGGACAGAAACAATCCTGGCTGCCGAATGCTTTGTAAAAGTAAGAATAGATGTTTACTCGCAGGAAAGCGAAGAACGGAAAAAGTTATCAACACCATTGTTTGCCACAAATAATTTCACCTTCTCTAGTCATATGATGCATTAAAAAAACGCTGCTCTTTCATAGTTAACATCACATACTGGCAGCTACGTAGCGCTTACATAGTTGGGCTAGCCCCTGGCTGGCCCCGAGTGCTTGGCTGAGGCCCACTCCACAGCAGAACCTTTTTCCCATCACCTCTACGTTGCTTTCTCGCTCCCGGTGCCTTGTGGCCAAAAAGATCTGACCTGAGCCCCACTTTTACAGCTAAACTGCCCCTCTGCGGCTGCATTTATGGGGCTGACAGCTCTTTAATTGCCATTTATGAAACACCTTGCCACAGCCCGGAGTGCAAAAGCTCAGCTAAGAAACCATCTCTAACCTGTGCTGGCTGCAGCATGGTTTACCCAGGGGTCCCCAGTGGGGTTTGGAAGTTCAAGGGCAGGTTTATGTAATGTCAGAATAGTAAGGGATCAAAAACCTCCCCAGAACGTTGCTTTTTAAGCCCCAGTTGTGGTCTGTCCTTTTCCATAGCTTCCCCAGTCTGCTGCTCCTGGGAAAGAATCCTTCCCGGTCTGGTCATGGCTCCCTGGTTTTCTTCCGGGACCTTGCAGAAGGCCTCCTGCCTTGCCAGCCATGACCCACCATCACCTCACCTCTCTCCCCTCACAGCCTCCCCCAGCCAAGGGCTCCCTACCAAACGCAGCGTGCCCGAAGCGCGGCATCCTGGCCCGTGTCCGGCCAAGGCCAAGGGCATAGGATCCCAGCACCACCTCCTGGCAACGCACCGCCATGCACGGCCGCATCCCGCCGGCGGCAGAAAGTCCCCCAGCAAGTTACGGGGACCACCCGGAGAGAGAAACCGGGGTCTGCGTGGACCCCAGTCTACCGTGCCTGTCCGAGTCTGGGTATTTTCCCTTTTCGCGGCATGAGGGCTGGCCTCGGCGTGGCTGCGGGCTCAGGACCCCCAGTTGCATCCCCCGGCGAGCGGCAGCTGCCGGCTGCGAGGTGAATAGCGGCGCGACGCGCCCGAGAGGCGACCGAATTTAATTCGAGATGAATGGGCACCTCCCTGCCGCCCATGACATTTTCATTGCAGGCTAATAAGGGGAGAAAAATCCAATTAGGGGACAAAAGGGGTCCCTAATCGGCCGTGCAGCCCGGCGCGGGG